TGGCTCAGTCTTTAAACGTCTGCCTTCAGCTCAGATCATGATCTCAGTGTCCTGGGATCGAGCCCCGCATCGGGCTCCCTGCTCGGCGGGAAGCCTGCCTCTCCCTCTCCCACTCCCCCTGCTTGTGTTCCCTCTTCCGCTGTGTCTCTCTCTGTCAAATAAATAAAAAATAAGATCTTTTAAAAAAATAAATAAAATAAAAAACACATCATTATCATTAAGAAATATTGTTTCTTAGCACTGTACCAAGATCCAAAGAACAGGATATCTAAATCTGCTTGGAGTTTGTGTGTCCAGTAAATCAGTGCTAAATACACAATATTGAATCTGTCATAAGCTAGTAGTGAATTGCATTCAGTTCAGTAAAATTGTATTATGCAAAGGTAAGGTAGTCTATTTCACCAGAAATTGAGTCTCCACCAAACCTATTCTTCCTGAAGACTACATACTGATTTTGATACTGACAATTTTTTTTAAACCAAGTTATATGAATTCCCTGTAGGTGATTAATTATCCCATATATGACACTGAATGCCAGTGTTTTGGAAGTTGCTCTATATGTCAGGTGCTATATATATAGAACAGAGAGAGTGTGTCTTTTTTTTCCCCCCAGGGCCTCAGAGACTAGATAAAGATTGCTTTAAAAAAAGAGAGAGTGTGTAGTATGTTCTGCAATACTATGTGTCATCGAGATTCATAGAATTTTATAGCTAAATTTAGAGCTAAAAGAAGGAAACTTTAAAGGTCTTTTCCAAGTCCCTCATTTTATAGATAAAGCAGTTAAAGACCAGAGAAGTCAAGCCACTTTTAGCAGGTTTTTCACTGAGCGGAAACTAGAAAGTAGATTTCCTGACTACTTGAAGTGCAGTGTTAATTTCATTGCCTTCCAGAGAGGCCAAAAGTTCTCCCTCCGTGACTCATAGTAACACATGGAGCACGTTTCTCTGTCTTTTAAGCAGTAGTAGAAGATGTGGGAAAATATTCTTGTGTATATATGGGCACACACAGCCTTTATATTGCTGGTCCCTCAATCTAGAACTTTGGTCTTCTTTTTCTAAGCTCTAACTTCAGTCTTACCAGAAACAGCAATCCAAAAGGAGAATTACTCTTCTTGATTCTCAGATTCTCTACCAAATGGGTGGAAACTGAGGTTCAAGAATTAGTACACCATTCCTTAAACAAGTTAAAGACAGAGAGAGATTTACAGAGATAGATTAGGTTTTCAGGATTTGTTCTTTATCTGTGGGAATGTATCTAGGTCTGTGTACCATGGCTACCATCCTGGTCTATAGTTCACAGGAACCATTGTACCATGGTGGCCCTAGACCACTTCAACCACAAGTAATAAAAGCTACATTTATTAAGGATTACTACGTGCCAGGCACTGTGCTGAACAATTTCTGTGCCTTATCTCATCATTTCACATACAGTAGATAGGTATTATTAACATTGAACTCAAAAGCAACAAAATAAAATTGGCATTTTTTCCCTAAAAAAATTCATACAAATAAAAAATGCCATTTTCTCTACAACTTCAGATTTCCATATGTTTTATGCAAATTTAGTTTCACCAAATGGGATGTATTTTTTAATCCCTTTGTTTGAAAATGGTAAAATCACCAAATGATTAGTTGCACTGATAGTTAATTGAATCTAATGTACAGCATGAGCATTCAGTGATACAGAAAATTTGTCCATAAGATTTAACCTTTGGGGGGAACTTTGACTTATAAAAATTCACATTTGTAGCGGAAGGCTTTCACTTTAATATGTCCTAATTCTAAAATGAATTTTAGAAGTCATTTCAGCTATTTTTTTGTTAGGTTACGGAAAAGCAAGACCAGCAAATGTAGTAAGTGTCTATGTTTGGCTGGGTTTTTCCTAACAGAAATTTTATTTCATAATTTTTTTAAAGATTTTATTTATTTATTTGACAGAGAGATAGACAGAAGAGCATAAGCAGAGGGAATGGCAGAGGGAGAGGGAGAAGCAGGCTCTGCACTGAGCAGGGAGCCTGATGTGGGGCTCAATCCCAGGACTCTGGGATCACGACCTGAGCCAAAGGCAGACGCTGAACCATCTGAGCCACCCAATACTGTTGATACACAATGCTACATTAGTTTCAGGTGCACAACATAGTGATTCAGTGTCTCTCTACATTATGCTGTGCTCACCACAGTGTAGCTCCCATCTGTCACCATGTTACCATACCATTAGCTATATTCCCCATGCTGTATCTTTCATCCCTGTGACTTACTCATTCCATAACCGGAAGTCTGTACCTCCCACTCCTCTTTGGCTGTTTGTTTATTTTAAATTAACTTTTTGGATTACCTTTTAGGAAAGAAGTGCTTTCCTAGACATGTAAACTTGACTGTATATTCATAATGTAACCAGAGCCTAGAGCAATGTTGGGCACACAATAGACATTCAATAATGACTCACTGAGTGAAGAGATGTACTGTGCGCTCTGTTAAATAAAGAGTAGCAGATTGTTGGTGATTCTAATCACTCTATTTTGGTATAGAATGTTGGTAGTCTCCAGTCTTTACACCAAAATTTCTTCTTCCTTCAATATGCCATAATTCTTACTAGGTGCTTTCTTTTATGATCACTTTCCCAAACTTCCCTGGGTATATACTGTCTCATTTTCTGTTTTTAAACTTGATACTTTAGAGTTTATTTCATCAAGCATTTATTGTATACCTACCATATGTATTTTGTTGCACCCCGGAGGAAAAATGAGAAAACCTGGTACTCACAGATTCTAGTAGAATAACCAATATAGAAGTACAGTTCTGGTTTGCTACCTGAGCTAATATATGCATGCAACAGGAGCCCATCATTTAGGAAGGTTTTCTAAACAGTCCCAAACCCCAAGTTTTTGATACACTCCTCATTGGGAGTAGGTATGACATATCAACATTTCCTATGGAAGATACATAATTTTAGAAGTTACCAAGTGATTCTAATATGCCCTGCCCTCCCCTCCTCACTTCTCAACTGAGAACTACTGACGGACAAGGAATAAACATAGTACAGGGAAACAAATGATTGGACCAGCTTCACAAAGAAGGATTTTGAAAGGAATCTGCTCTCTGTTCTCAGGTTGTTGTTGTTTTCTGTTTTATTTCAACATATATTATACAAAGATTTAACATGTGCTGGACGTTATACTAAGTGCTGAGGATTCGATACTGAGCAAGATTCCTGCCTTCGTGCAGATTACATAAGGGAGACAAGAAACCACTGTAGATAATTACTGTGATCAGTGCTGTGAAAGAGAATACAATGAGTAATGAGATCATATCCTGAGGGACCTAAACAAATCTGGGGCAGAGGGGTGGGGGACTGAGATAAGAATGTGAGCAACCATTCATTGCCTATGCCTAAGAGAATGGGGAAGAGTGAGTAGAGAGAAAAGATTTTTGACCAAAAAATGGCAGTTGTTTAAAGATTTCCATTTGGAAGAGGTCAAGGGCAGAGGATACATTTACCAAATGGATATAGGCTAATTTAAAGGCATCCTAATTGAGAGGTAAGATTCTCTTCCCCTCTAATTCAGAGGTCCCTAAGGAGGCCCCCACAAACACAATAATTGTATTAGTGATCAAGCTTATTAGGGTCACATGAAATGTATTTATGAATTTGAGACTCAGGGGTGCACAGCAGTCTCTCCTCTAGCCTACTGAAAATGGAATTCACCAAGTATTCAGATGGAAATGTGTTTATGTACTTTAGTGTCTTATGGTAGAATGCTACCTTTAGCATTGTAACGTATAGCAGGAAACCATCCATTTATTCATTCCTGCATTCAGGAATTTTTGACAGAGCATCACTAGGTGCTAGAGATATAAATGAGTATGATGGGCTCTGCCCTCAAGGAGCTACAGTGTAGTGAAGGAGACAGTCATAAAAACACACCACTGTGCTACCACGTGGGGAGGGTAAGAGTTGAGCTCCACACAGAGTACTGTTGACTTTGGTATCCAAATGTCCTTGTTATGGGAAAGTACAGAGAGTCCAAAGCATTTGGAGAGAAAAACCATCTTGGTCAAAAGAGGTACAAACATGATTTTTCCCCCAACCTAGGCCTTACTAACCTCTCTTAAATGTTCCACTTTGCCTTTCTTTCTTTAGTTTTCTTCTTCTTTACACTTCCTCACCCCACAGGAAGCCAAATGTTAAGTAAGGAAATGGTCTTTTTGACAAACATCATTAAGTGGTAATCCTGGAGAGTCAGGGAGAATGATTACGGCTTCTCTCTACTAAATGTAAAAGTACTCTCTGGTCTAATAACATGAAAGAAAGCACCATCCATATTTCTTTATAACAGGGACAAAATAGATCATATAGATTCTCTGAGAACAACGCTCTGTCTGTACAACTTTGAATTTTGCACAGTTCCTTCAGTTTGTGAAACATGTTGATCCTTTTAGGGCCTGACCTTATGTCAGATGCTGGGGATGCAAAAATGAATAAGACATTGTCCCTGGCCTTCAGGATGTTCTGTAGTGAGATTAATAGACATGTCAAATAAAAAGTACCGTTTGAAATTGCTGTCATTGAAGAATGTACCAAGGGCTGTTGGGAGTACAGGCGAATGAATAATAAATTCTGCTTGAAGAAGTCAAGGAAAGCCTCATACATAAGATGACATTTTAATTGGGTCTTGAGGGATGAGTAGGAGCTGGCCCTCACCTATTTTATATGTAAGTAAATACACTTTTCTCTCTTTGCTGAGCTCCTAGATTCTTTCACCTTCCCGGTAAGATCATGCATTAATATTTTTCAACTAAAGAAGTGAACAATTTAATTTTTACTGATAGCCTGCCTGCGTACTGCCATGAAATATAAACCTGAGCAAAGTTGGAGTAGAAAAACCAGACCTTGAGCTTGGTGAAAGCGGGGGGGTGGTGCTTTTACTGTGTGGGCACTAGGACTGGGGGAGAGCAGCAGTGATTCAGTGATGCATCCTTGTCATTTCTCTCTCTGTGTAGCCATCAGGTTCGGGCGGATGCCACAGGCCGAGAAGGAGAAGCTGTTGGCGGAGATCTCCAGTGATATCGACCAGCTGAACCCAGAGTCGGCTGATCTCCGGGCCCTGGCAAAACATTTGTATGACTCATACATAAAGTCCTTCCCGCTGACCAAAGCGAAGGCGAGGGCGATCTTGACAGGAAAGACAACAGACAAATCAGTTAGTTCTCTTCTGCTGTCTTCATTTGGGGTGGCTGGGTTTATTGTTGCTGTTGTTGTTTTGTCTTTGAGAAGATCATTCACCCTGTTACACACACATACGCACAGTCGTGTTTAGCTGTTGGCTGTTACATATTACAGACTGAAACACAGGAAAAGAAGTGTTTTCAGATAGGACAAGTAAACCTTATTTTGAAAAGGGAAAAAGTCCTTCAAGTTCTCCTAATAAATTCTGTGAGAATAGTATAAAGCCCCCCGTCTTCCTGCTGCCCTCCTTCAGGATCCATATCTTTTCTTGACATCAGAACAACTGGCCACAGCTACATGCATTCCAGCAGCCTGGCTTGTCTCTGGGAGGGGCCTGACCTAGGTTTGGAAAAGGTATTGGGTCCCATTATTTTACAGTTCAGGAGAAATGTTACTTACAAAGTTCCATGTGGGGCATAAAAATACATCTAGATATTACATTTCCTTTCTTTCCTTGTGGCTCTGTTGATGGCTCCTGGGCAACTGGAGGCTCAAACCTTTGATTACATACGTGAATTTTATCTTCTGTGAGGCTCTGAGCTGCCTGGGCTACTCCTCCCATAGATTCTCAAACATCTGCAGGCTCATTCATTACAGTTTAGAAAACCCAGAGTAGGTTATAACTGTTACTGAGTCCAAAGCAGAACTCTTCCTGGATAGGAAGCTGAGAAAGCAATGTGAAATCCAATTAAAACAAGACACAGCTACACCTGAATTTGAGTTTCGGTTCTGCAATCAGCTTGCAGTATGACCTGGGTCACATCTCTGTCCCCGTTTTCACAGGCAGAGGTCTGACTTTGATGGTACTGTCTGCAGCAGTAGGGTTATAAGAAGTGCAGAACACATTCAGAAGACAGACACCGTCCCAGCCCTTGAAAGTCCTTTTGTGCTTCATTTGTTTTTAAATGTACACCTCCAGGAGAGGCATGCAGTTACTTTATATATGTGTGTAACTTTGTCCCCACTCCATTATATTTGGGGAAAAATATCATTAGCCTTTAATGTATTTTGATGACGGTCTCAAAATGTGATTTTCCCCCCTTTTAGCTATAAACCATTAGAGTAGTGTCAGCTAATAGAAAAAGAAAACTGTGGGATACTGCTGTGTAGAAAGCCAAATGCCAAGAAGGACAATGAGTTTTCTGACTACAAGAGAGGACGCTGATACCTGAACAGTATTATACGTGTATCCCATTCTTTACAAATTCAAAAAATCTTACACGTTCATTATGTTCAAGACACACAGCCATCTGACAGCTGCTGTTATTATCCTGTTTTTAAAGATGAGGAGACTAACATCCAGAGAGGTTAAACATTTTGCCCTGAGATCACACAGTTAGCATACAGAAGAACCCTATGATACAGGCCTACTAACTTCTACCTCAGTGCATTCTGAGCACGATACTCCCTCCTGGAAGCTCCTCTTTCCATTGGCTAGCAATGAGCCAGGTGGACAGATGCACTAGGAAAGCTTCACCTTGGGAAAATGTACTGCGTTAAGATTTATTTTTACCAATTTTTAGAATGGCAGGAATCTTCTACCTTGTTCTGCTATCCCAATATATTCACAGCCAGGAAATTTTTGTCTTCTGCTCTTTTGTTCTTCCCAAATTTCAACGTCTAGGACAACTATCTTCCATAGGGACAGGACTGCAGACTCTAGGTCCTAGTAAAGCTGAGTCTGTGTATTCATTAAATGCCCCCCAAAAATCAGGGTACAGCAAAATAAAAGCAAGCAAAGACCTCTGTGTAGCTGATGTGACTATGGAAAATCAACTGTGTTTATTTGAAGGGAGAGAAAGAAAAGGAAAACTAGTGGCCTGGCTAAAAGGGGTTAAGAGCTGAAGGCAGATTGCTGCCGCTTGCTGAGAGCCAGTGTGGGATAGGGACCTGGAGGCTGAGAGGCCTAGAGCCGGGAAGGGAGTGTTGACAGGGAGAGAGTCTGAATGCAAACTGTTTACTCCACAGTTTTGCCTAAGGCCATTTAGTTTCCAGGAACCACTTTCTCACCTTCTCTTTATCTCCTAATCCAGACCTGCAATCCATGCTGGAAATCCTGTCAATTTAACAGTACCTGGAAGATGGGAGGAAGGCATTAAAAAACATTTTTCCCCCAGTAGTCAAGAATTTAAATGTATGCTACCAGTGACTGTCATGTTCTCTTCTGTGTCACTGAAGGGCAGAGAGCCCAGGCCACTGTAAATCACTAAAACCTCATACCAGTTGGCAATTTGGCTCAAAATCTTTGAGTTAAAAATAAGATAATTGTAGGCTCTTTGTGGGATAAATAGGTATTAAGGTATTTTAAGAGAAAGGGCTGCAAAATGCTTGATTATAGGCTTCTCCAGTTCAGAGGCCAAATGTTGGTCATGTTTTCCCCTATGGTAACCAAGACTGTGCTTTGCCCATAATAGTTACTCAGAATGTATTTGTTTAATTGAATTAAAAACTGTTGCCTATGCCCCTTTGAAATTCTGGACTTTGAACAGAGAGCCTCTAACTAGCCCAATATTTGCTCACCAACCTGGACATCATTAATGGTCTGAATAGAGGCAGAATTGCGTCTTGTTAGGGTCTGGAAAAGAAAGAGAGACTGAGCCAAATTAAAATAATCCATTCCCTGATTACACAAAAACTGAAATAGAATTGTTTGGCTCTCTCTTTTCTCCTTATCTTGCGAAATCAAATTAAGCACTAGTGGAAAGAAATAGTTCAGAGAGAATATGGGAGAGGGGGAAAAAAAATCCAAAATGTGATTTCCAATGAGACTAGAGATTTGTTCTTTATCTGACGTGGTCATGTTATTTATTTGATAGCATCTCTCTCAGGGGTGTTATGTTATCTCTTGGCCAAGACTTATGAAAGCTAAGATTTGCATTGATAGGATAGGTCGTGCCGAAGTATGGACTCTCGAGAGGGTGGGGGATATGGAAAAGTGGCCGTGCCTGGTGCAGTAGGATAGCGTGGGTCTCATTATAGACCCTGCTTGAGATTGATGTCATTCATGTTGGTTAGGCCAAGCCTGGGGGGAGGCTGCTCAGCATAAAGGATGGCCAGTTACCCAGAATCTTTGGAAGAGGAAACGACTCTATTGAAGAGGCCATTCTTCAAATTTATCTTACTGCTCCATTTAACCATTGCCTGTTCTCTCTCATTTGAGGATATACCTGCTAATCTCTTCTCTTGGGACCTGTACCAGCATTTGCCTCCAGGTCAAGCAGGGCTTCTCCCTTGTCAACTAAACTTCCGTCTCCTGTATCTTATTTCCGGGTGCCACTCGCACCTTGCAAAACAGATAAATGAGCAGATAACTTCTGCTTCCCTCCTGTCTTTTTAACTTTGACAGCATGTCTTCAGGATATGATGCCCCTACTTTTCATTGCCTTGACTGAAAGAATAATGCTTGGGAGTTTTAGGCTCAGGGCTAGATAGGATATGGAATCACTGGGTAAAGTTAACCAGAGAAGAAGCTTCACTAGCAGTAAGCCTGTTAGCCAGGAGAATGGCACTGACTCTTCCCCCCACAGTCTCTTTCCCTTTCAGTGGCTTGTAGCAGCCCAGCACCTTCTTTAAGAGATTCCGCTGAACTCTGAAAACTGTGAATCTAGAACCAGGGTGCTGTGTTTCATGATGGCAATTTGAGAACGGAATGGACTTTGAAAGTTCCCAGTGTTTGAATATTACCCTGATGTGATGAACACACTGGGTGTATCATTGTCACATGATCCCATGTTTGTGGATGAAAATAAACAGAGTGGTTTTCAAAAACCATTTTCAGTGCCATGGTTTGTCATAAAACAATAAATAGAAAAACCCTTGGTACGCCTGCCAACTTTTCATCCCATATCTGAGAGATGGTGAGGCCCTGGCTGCACTGTATCTGCAAATAAGGAATAAAACTTGTTATCTGTACTGTATTGGACTTTGGGTCCCAAAGCATCACATTGCTTTTGATGGGTACATGTGGAGTCACTGTTTTTACAAATACAAAAGCAAACTGGTGCCATCGTAAAAATGGTTTTTCTAAATAGTGTGTGAAACATGAAACTACCGAATATTAAAACCCATATGGAAATGTAAACTTCTGTGAAGACAGTTCTGTACCCATTCAGATGTTCCCATTCTAAAATTTACAGTGGCCATCAAACCTAGTAACTCTCAAAGCTATTGGAAAGATATCTGTTCTTTTCTGTCCTACTCTTACAGCTGAACAAAGGGTGGTTTCTTTCCCCTTCATCTATGGAAAAACCTGAGTGAGTTGGAATTTGCTCCCCTGAGAAAAAAGATCCCAGACAAACTGTCAAAGAAGAGAGACTTAGGAGCCCCAATATAAATAAAGAGCGTGCTAGTCATGCTGATTTGTTTGGAGGGCTAATGAAGAAGCTGGGCTCCTGGGATCCTTAATCCAGATATTAATGTGAATAAAATAAATTCCTTTATTGCCAGGACTGTCAGGAATAGCCAAAGATATAACAGATCTGAACGAATAGTGTTCTTTCAGACAATAAATAAAAAAGATAGAATGAAGAAAAGCATGTGGATTTCTTTTTTTTTTTTTCTCTTTCTTTCTTTTTTTTTTTTCTTGGTAATGATTAGATTCAGTTGACCAGTACCCTTGTTTGACAGCTGAGTTACGCTTTGACTGGCAATGGATGGGTTTTTAAGAGCTGTGGTTATGTGTGAGTTCATTAGAGTGTGGATAATTCTTCCCTTTAAACTTTTGTCTTAAATCTCTAAACCATGCGGGAGAACAGAAGTACATTTGAGAGATTGTTTGAACTTCCCTTCAGTCACATCCAGCCCTTACCTAGCACTTCTAGGAAATAATAGCTCAAAAGGCACGGTCTCCAGCTCCACCATGGAAGAGCTTTGGTTTAAAAGCTGAAATTTCTCCCAGGATAGTCATTTTATTTAAAGAAGGAAAAGTGGAAAGTCATGTAGAAAGCAATAGAAAGGGAAAAGAACTAGTCCTGAGTCAGGAGCTCTAGTTCCAGTTGAGGGTTTGCTGTAAATAGTTATTTGAATTTGGCCTCATTCAGTGTATTCATACCTTGTCAGAGAATGATGATGTAGGTGATTTTTGAAGACCCCTTTGGTTCTGTAAATCCCATGGTTCTCAACAAGAGGAAAATAGAAACGGGCAAAACCAGAAGTTGAAGAAACCTAACCAATGCCTTTTGATTAACAGTCACCCATTATAGCTAATCCAGGAGAACCATGTATCTCTAAAAGGATGAAAGCCAGTCAGAAGTATAAAAAAGGAAGAAGGAAACAAAATGAAGATGATAGGCCCTAAGAATCCAGCTTCTCTTCCTTGAGCCTTTGCTCTAATCTGTCATGAAAACTAAGGATATCAGGAGAGCTTCATGACAGGAGGCACACGTTTTTTTCAGGCCAGTTTTAACTCTGACATGGTTACCAAGGGATGGTCTGTGAGGGGGTAGAGTTGTCTGTTACGTTAATTCCAGTCTCCCAAATTGAAGCAATCATCAGGACAATCTGTGCTTTATAAGTTGACTTTCTCATTTATCTCCTTTGGCTTGTTATTTTATTATTCAAAAAGAGCTGTAAACTTACAGTGTTCATGAATAATCCCTTTCATAACTTGTATATATATTAAAATGCTGATGTTATGGATTACTAAGGAACACTATTGTTCTGTTTCTCCAGTCAAAAAAGTCAACTTTTATTACTCTACTGTGTTTTCATTATTAAGCCAGCTTCCCCCATTATCGTTGTGTCGCATATTAGAGGCATGCAAGAGGCCTGTAACTAAACTTAATAATCTATATAAAACAGTACCTTTAATCCCATCCTGGCTTTGATAGGTGGAGCCATTCTTGAAAATCAAAATATATCAAAATTAATTACATTTGATGTATTTCTCCAAAGAAAACTGATTTCCTCTTACAGAGACTGTTTTTGCTTCCCAGGAAAAACATTATGTTGAAGTGCAGTTTTCTCCTTGTCAGTCTCACCTTTTTCTGTTCTGCCCAGCATATGAGAAGTACAAGTATCATAATGGCCAGAGGCAGATTGTCCATGAAGTGAATGAAGCTTAAGTGTCAGGGCTTCTCCCTTGCACAGAGCCCCTTCCGATGCTCTGAGAAGGGTCTGAGCAATTTTGCTCTTAGAAGTTGTGTTATTGAACCCAACAATTGTCGCAGATGTACCCAATGGTTATGTGCATTTCAGGTCCCGCAAAACCTGGATCTGTCCCTATCGAGTCCCAGATGTATTTAAACATTCTTTTCTGTTAAGAAGAAATGCTTATCTAGCCATTTGATACAGTGTCTGAAGATAAATACATCGTTAGCTCCAAATAGGAGTGTAAAATCATTAAGACCAAATTTGAGGATGATATGATTCCTCCTAAAATGGTAGATCATCAGATGATACCATACAAGCTAATAGAACACAGAAGGCTTCCCTTTGATTTGTAGAAAATACAGAAATATGGAAGTGAAATTCATTTGCTGTAGAATATTTCACCAGAAGTGTAACATTAAGTTAATGATCCAAGATAAATTACATAGGCCAAATTCCACTTCGTTTTAAGAGGTCAGCTTTCTGTAAATCAGGCAAGTCACTCTCTTTTCCCTGTTTCGGGGGGAGGAGGTCCCAGTGTGACTTGTGTGAGTTAAGTGTTGGCAACCTAAGAATCGGGCGAATTGGTGGCAAAGAAGGGCAGATGTCCAGGCAGATCATGTCTGGTGATCATTTTGCAGTTTGACAGATTTACATGGAGGCCGAAAGTACCTATGCAGACTTCAAAAAAGCAAGGAAAACAGCATAATCTTGGAAAAACAAAAAAAATCCACTTGGTATCCATTTGCATGTCAATACCCAGAATTCTTTACCAGTTCACCACTTTTTCAAAAATGCTGAAGGGATTTAAAAAAGAAAAAAAAAAAACAAAAAACAAAACTGGAATGGTTTGGCATGATGGTGGGGGCTGCTGATTCCTTTCTCTGTCCTTGAGTGTTTACTGCCAGGAAATCCTGACCAACATCGATTGCCAAGGGGTTAAAGTCACATTGTTGTTAAATTGGGAGAGAAAATTAGCAGGATTTTGTGCCCTATGTTCAACTATCACAGAGTTTCAAAAACAGGAACCTGGGGCTTTATATGAGGGGACAGGGGAAGTCAGGGGGAAGAGTCACAGGGTGATTTATCAGGGCATAGTTCCAGATAAATTGCTTACATGGAGGTAGAAGAATTGCATGCATACGTTCTGTGCCAAGAAGCCAAATGGTTGAGCAGAAGCTCGTCCCGGTGTTGAAGTGGGCAGCTCTGGGTACAGTCTTCCCATATGTGAAGAGGGGATGGTTTATATTCATGTTATTTTGTACTTACGTATTACGTATGTACAGCTACCTGTATGGTATCTATCCCACCAGAGTCTCACGGCCGTAAAGAAAGCCAGTACTTCACTGACAGAAACATGATATGCTATGGAACTCCTAGAGGACAGAAACCACATTTTCTGTAGGTTCTATAAAAGCAAGTCTTTCTCATGATTAGAATCTGACATTCTGGGGAAACTCAGCACATTTTAACTGATGTGACTGATTATCTGCTCTTTTTTTCCTCTCCTGTTAATAATATCAATCCTGAAGTAGAAAAAAAGAAAACAAACAGAATGTCCAAAAACATAGTAAGCATTTTTGTTCCTAATTTACTTGAAGAATTAGAGCCACCAGACACACTTACTGTTGGGTCCCCGCATCTGCCCTCCTTTGGGGTTGGCTGACCAATACAGTTGAAGTGAATTTTTGTTTAGAAAAAGTAAGAATTTCTGGAATAACTCCAGTGAATGGTGTGGAAATAACATGCAGGTTTGGAAATCTACTCAACATCTAAGAGTCCTTAGTGTTAGTGTTATTCCTTCAGTGTAGACCAGACTTAACAGGTTGGTGAAAATCATAGACTTGCGTAGAGATTCACAGTTAGAATCTCCAAACCAGTCGATCTTGAAGGTGCTTACTGCTGCCACTCATTATACTGCTTCCTCTTGCCCAGAGGGAATTCTCAGCATCTCTGCCTAAAAGAAACTTTTGTACATCAAAGACTTCATATTCCGTGTACATGCGTGTGCATGCATGCTCACACATATCCACATGTACACCACACACACACACACACACACACACACACACAGCTTCTAAGAAATGCAACTAGAACACCTTCAAGGGAAGAGATGGAAACATCCAATGTAATCCATTCCCCTCAGTTGAGAAATTTGAGCCTAGGAAAGATAAATGTTTTTCCTAAAGTCACATTCTTAACCATAGAGCCAAAGCTGGAGCGCAAATACCTTCAACTCTTATTCCAGTGCTTTTTGGTATACACTTATTTGAATGGGAGTGGGGGGGTTAACTTCTATAGTTAAGTATTTCCAATGTATATAAAATGATTCCCCTTCTCAATCAGAGCAGCCTGGAGAATTTCACAATGACCACAACCCTTTGGTCTTCCTATACGAGGAAAGAAAGAGAGAGATCACTTAATGACTAACAACTTACTTTTGAAGGCAGTCTGTTGCAGACTTGAGTAACTGATGCACGTGTTTTATTGATTATTTGACCCTTAAGGACAGATATTTTGAAAATAAGTTCAAAACCCTTTTTTAATTTTGCCACTTTATGCAGTGCTTACCCACAGGCTTTAAACATCTGGCTCTTTCTGAAACAGATTGCTTCCAGAGCATTAAGAAAAGAAATAGACATTTTCTTGGCTCAGTATTTCTCATCTGCTTTCAAACCGATTTTTTATAGTTAAGTATATTTTACATGCACACTGCGTTTCATTTGAGATCTGAGTAGATTTAATCTAAAACTGCAAGATTACTTTATGTTCAAGTGGGTGTGTTCACCCTGAGTTGCTGAAATGATTTTTTTTTCATTGAATGAAGGTTAAAAACACATTCTCTTGAAAGCCAAGATAAATAACAGATCTTGTATGATTTTACAAGTCAGCAACAAAGACTCTCCAAACAACCCAAACTGGAACTATTAGCCAGTCATAGGTGAAAGTGTTGCAGTATAAGTTGAAAGAAAAGACCAAGCTTGGTAAAATATGTTTGGTCCCAGAAGACAATTAGGAGGAATAATCGGGAGATGAGAATATTTTCTCATTACGTATTTTCAACCTTAAAGATTTTAGTTAGCAAGGCAAATGTGTGTAAAGAAACTGGAATGGTATTCACCCTGAATTAGAAATCTCCAACTCAGCTTCTTTCCCCCACCCCTTTTTTTTTTTTTTTGCAGCCATTTGTTATCTATGACATGAATTCCTTAATGATGGGAGAAGATAAAATCAAGTTCAAACACATCACCCCCTTGCAAGAGCAGAGCAAAGAGGTGGCCATTCGCATCTTTCAGGGGTGTCAGTTCCGCTCAGTGGAAGCTGTGCAGGAGATCACAGAGTATGCCAAAAGTATCCCTGGTTTTGTAAACCTTGACTTGAATGACCAAGTAACTCTCCTAAAATATGGCGTCCATGAGATCATTTACACGATGCTGGCCTCCTTGATGAATAAAGACGGGGTTCTCATATCAGAGGGCCAAGGATTCATGACAAGGGAGTTTCTAAAGAGCCTGAGAAAGCCCTTTGGTGACTTTATGGAGCCCAAGTTTGAGTTTGCTGTGAAGTTCAATGCACTGGAATTAGATGACAGCGACTTGGCAATATTTATAGCCGTCATTATTCTCAGTGGAGGTAAGATTCATCTTTCGATCTTCCGTGAAAGAGGGTGGGATGGTGGTGGCATGGCTGGAAGGATTTTTACTTTCCTTAGCATTCATCCTTTTACGTACTTTCCTACAGAAAATGCCAGGGGTATAATGCCAGGAGAACGTCACCACACAGGTAAAATACCAGGAGAGAGGATCATAAATTTGCTCTTGGAAGGCTGTGGGCAACCCAGGCTTTTCTTCTTTTATCCTTCATGATATTTTTTCCAGTCAAATCCAAACATGAAAAGCAAATGCCCTCTTCTTTTTTTTTTTTTTTCTTTTCATTTTCTTTTTCACTATCTTTTCCCTTCCCTTCTCTCTTGCCCTTCCCTTCAGGTCAGTCTATTCTTCGTGTCATTTAAGTAATGACATATACAACTTTGCTTAAGTTGGTGCTCACTTGGCATAGAGAAAGTTGTTGGCCTACCATCAGGAAGATATTACTTTGAATTGCTTTCCTAATATCAGGAATCAAGAAATATTTATCTACTGACTTCTGACTATTCTCTCAGGTAGATTTCTCTGATGGCTTCCCTTAAAGTACCTTTGGGAGGTGGTTGGCTATGATTAAGAATACAATCTGAACCAAAGAGCACAGAGCAGAGAAATAAATTGAGTTATTTAGCAGTTCATTGTATTTTTGGCCTTGCAAGTACATGATCTAACTAACCGACTCCAAAAGCCAGGTTTTATACTACATGCTACTTTCATTGGCTTCTCCACACATTTCCAGCTTATGTAGAAGAAAGTTTTACTGTCGTCTCTCTTTATAAAAATTGTTTTTAAGCAATGAGTTTTCATTACTGAAATGGACTTCGGGTGAGCTTTTTGTGTGCACTTGGCAGGACATCCTCTGTTGGCGAAAGCTGATGGGGGGAGGGATGGTGGTCCTCTAGATGTAAACTGTGTCTAACTATACAAGATATTATAAGGAACACAGTGCACTCTGTCCTCCTTTGTTGTCCAATTACTGGAGAGCAGAATGCTTCTGAAAGCAGGTGCATCTTGTATTAGTAATAATAATAATGCTAGCAAACACCTGTTAAGTACCCACTGTATCCTAGGCAATGTTCTAAGCACGTAGTACGCATTCACTTAATTCTCCAGCCCAGTGAGGGAAGTACCGTTTTGCAGACGAGGAAACCAGAGCACTGAAAGGTTCAATCACTTGCCCAGGGCTACCCAGTGAACATAAGATGGGGAGCCAGGATGATGAGCTCGGGCAGTCTGGCTCCAGGGTCTACAGTAATCCTACCGTTTACGTGACTCAGGTGCAAAGAGCTGGTGTACAGCACACGGGTTAACCCCGGAGCCTCTGGGCAGCATCAAGTTGCCATTTCTTTAAACGTGACATTCATTTTGGGGGGTTATGTTTAATGTAACAAAAGCTACTATCCAACATGTTTTAATGTCTTGACAGACTCTAGTTAGATAGACCAACCCTTGATCCTCTGGGATCCATGATTAATTCAGCAAAGAAGAATGAGATTCTAGTTTATTTGAGGTTCATTAGTAGAAAAACCTTAAATTTTGAAAAACCAGATGAGAAAACAAATTGTTACTGCTTAGCTAATATTTTGAGGCACATTTTATTTTTAATGATGAATAGAAATAGAATTATTAACATCTGATATATTTCTAAGATTTTTCCCAAACATACTCTAGATTCCATGTTTATATTCTTTTCCTCACTTAGTCATTTTTCCCATGTCATTACATACTCTTTGTTAATATTTTTCATTAATTTTTGGAAAATAAAAGTAATACATGGTCATTTCATAATTCAAAGAGTACAGAAAAGTGTAAATGGAAATTAAAGGTCTTTGTCCTCAGAATAAAATGAGATTAACAAAGTCCTATTTCTTCTCCTGAAAAGTTTCTATGCATATGCTACATATCTATGTATACATACTACCATTTTAAGGACTGTAAAATACTCATTTTTTAAAGGACCATCACATACTGAATTATCTTCTTATTTATGGTTGCTAACTTACTACAAAAAACCTATAGAGGAGGATATAGAAAAATTTTTTTAGAAAATTATTGAAAATGTGTTCTAAATTTGCGTTTTAGTGAATATTTTTAAGTGTAAATTTCTGTTCAAATTCCAAATTATTTTCTCATTCTAAATTACCAGAAGTGGAATTGCTGGGTGGATAGCTATAAATATTTTTAAGTCTTTTGTTGCATCATTGCCAGATTGTTCTCCACAACATTTATACCAGTTTATATTCCCACCATAGATACACTAAGGGAGGCATTTGAAATAAGCTATTCAAAGATCAATTGCTAGCCAGGGAAGGTTTACACAAGAAACAGTCGTAATAATTCTGGATTTTTGAACTTGAGCAGTGTTTGTTTTTTGGTTTTTTTTAAAGATTTATTTATTTTAGAGAGAGTGCACATGCAAGCAGAGGGAGGGGCAGAGGAGAGGGAGAGGGAGAATCCTCAAACAGACTCCCCAATGAGCACGGAGCCCTATGTGGTGCTCTATCCCAGGACCTGAGATCATGACCTAAGCTGAAATCAGGAGTTGGCCACTTAACTGACTGAGCCATCCAGGGCGCCCCAGTGAGCAATGTTGTTTTATGGGCACGTGAGACCACAGGGTGTTTTCATCTAGGAAAAAAGCCATTACTGCCTATAACTCACAAGCAAGGTCATTTAAAAACCAGCGATTTATTAGGCTTTAAATTTTTCATTAGCTGGTCAAAAAATAACAGTGCATAGTTTGATTCAATTTAACAAATATTGCAGGCTTTGGTTTTTAATTATGAAAATTAAAAATGGTACATTTTAAATGTAGATGCCATATAAATGAGTTCCTTTTGGTCTCATACAGACTGCTTTAACAGTAGCCAATATCCAGATCTTATTGGATCTTCACAACAATGAAAGAAATCTGAAGGTAGCAGCCAGCCATAGATTATTAAAGTCTTATCCCTGTGGTTATTATGGAGAAGAAAACCCTGTGAATAATTTTAGACTTCCTTAAAAAAATATATAACTAACCATTGACTAGTTCCCATTATCACAAAAGGCAAATCCTTCCCTGATCAAAGTTTGCTTTTGTAGATGAAGTCTACCTACAGGCAGTAGATAAGAATGAATAAACTGGACCCCATGTTTGCTCAACACATAGAAATTTGATTCTCTTCTTTACTCAGAGAAGCCACTTGGATATAGGCCAGAGAAAGAACTGCTCAAGTCTTTTCCAGTCCAAAGACTAGACTCCAGTAAAATCAGAATCCCAGTCATCTGTAGATGGTGAAGTCAGTATCCCAGATTGTGGTTTATTAGAGTATGACATATAATTTCTCAATGAGTTTTAATTCTTTTCCTATCCTGGGTTTTCCAGAAGGAAAACATTCATGTAAGCAAGAGGCTTTGATCCAGTGAACAAATTTCTGATCCTACTTAATCTTAACGAAGAGTGGTCATTTTCTTTTGTGCAGTTTACATTGAAGTCTATAGATAGCTTTAGTGATTTCAGAAAAAGAGCTTTTGGCAGGGGTCCCATTGACCTCATTCTGAGCTAGGCTTAGAATCACAGAAGAGTGAAGGCACCGTGACCCTAGACTGAAGGAAGGATGGGGAGATGGGCCCCTTGTAAGTGTGGGGTGGTAAGGAATTGGGGAGATTAAGGGCACGGCATCCCCAGAAGACCTAAAGGGGATTTTTCTTTTTCTTTCTTTCTTTCTTTCTTTTTTTTTTTTTTTTTTTGGATGAAAGTACCTGATTTGACCCAACTAAGTATTTGCTGAGGAAACTGGAGTTGCTATAGTAAGATAGTAAGATCACTGTCATTCAACTTCAACCCTAGAAACTGCTGATCCGGTGAGATTTGGTACTTAGATTGGCCTGGTGCTTAGCATCTTTGCTGTTTACTCAGCTCTCAAACCAAGCTAGCTGAGAAAGATGACCTAGTTCTTCTCAAGTTTTTCTCCTCTCTCTCTTTCTCTCCTGAGCTCAAGGCAAGAAAAAAAAAAAAAAAAAGGGACTACAAAGAACAACAGTCCAGAATCAGACAAAGGACAGCACTTTGTACATTTTTTAAAAGCATTCCGTGTTATGTTCTCTTATTAGATCCTGACAATTCTCCTATATATTTTTATTCCCATTTCACAGAAGGAAAAGTGAGGTTCCTAGACTCCAGCAATTTGTCTGAGATCTAACAGCTAGTGAGCAGTGGAACTGGGGCTGAAAACGGGGTGTCCTGTCACCTCAGCGTGCCCTCTCTGCCACACACTCTGTCCCCTGCCACCTGGCTAACGGTTCATGATCACCCTCCTCACACTTGTGTTGGTGGCTGGAACCTGTGCTCCCTTCACCATACCCCCTAAGGTATGGGCCCATAATTCGGAGGTAGTGCTTCCTCAGTAGTTGTGATAAGTAATAGCTTCCCTCGCTCCCTCTAGGATGGGTGGCATCAAGAGTAATAAAACTGCCTCCAGCAAGGGCAGGTTTGCCTCTGGTGCCGCAGCTCCGTGCCAGCCACACTAGCAAACTCCCAGAACTACCCCGCAACCAAAGCCAAGTGTAAAGCTCAGTAAAACTGACAAGCCCCAGGACACTCCACTGGACTCTTTGCCCCCTTGAGCATTTGCCGTTCAGTGAAGAAAAGCATAGGAAGGTTCCAGCTGGAACTCTGCAACAGGAAAAAGCTCTTTTTGTTAATTCAAAACAGTTTGGAATCCATTACAGTTCTTCCCAAACTTTCAAGATATGGGGGAGGAAATTCACTGGGTTTTATAATATATTTTTTGAGGCAGATTGCCATCGCCATCTTTATGACAGAGAAGCTGTAAATATTGATACAATGGCCACAAATGGCAAGTCATCAGCCTCCGCATTTACCCTCTCGAGTCTGGCTGGGTTATGCAAACCACCTCTATAGCAGCTCCTTCGTTTTCCAGCAATCCTAGCCATGTTCTTTTTCTGTGAAGCAACTTTGGACAGCTGTTCTTGGAGTGATCGTGTGTGTTTCAGCTGTTGAGTGGGCAGGGGGCTGGGAGGATAGGGCACAAGAGAGGGGAATTGTTCTTATAGTTGTACATTTGCAGATCCAGGAAGAGTTGATGCTCTTAAGACAATTGGGTAAGTCCTCGTTCTATCAGGTCAGTAACCTGA